AAATAACCGTTGGCATAAGTGTGTATTATGTGTGTGAATTGTGAAAGCATATGCTATGTGTGTTAATGTGTGAACATGTGTATATGCTGAAGGATGGTGTTGAACAGAGTTTAATCACTAATAGCTGTGTCCATTTGACTCAGAAGACCTGGAGAAAGCCTATTTGCACCTAACCCACCACTAGATTTTTCTGATGCGCATTCACATAAGCACAACCAGTACCTTAAGAGGTCCCAAATTTATTATTGAGCAACCCTTCAGGAGTCCTGGAAAGACACCTCTACCCACTGTTAGTGCTGGGTTTGCTTCTCTAATGTAAGAAGGTAATAACTTTGATTCAGCCCTTCAATTAAAAAAATAGATCACTTGAAAATAATATAGCCACTTATACTGTGTGCATTCTCCTGAACTGATATATTGAATTGTTATACCATTTTTGTAAAATAAAAACTTAAAGCAGAAGTGAAAGAAACAAATATGTTCTACAGACTCCCCTGTAGACAATGCCTTGCACTACAAGGGCTTAATACACAGAAATTGCCCTTGGTCTTGAATCCTTTTCCTGTTACCCTTTGTCTACCATTGCCCTGTGGGGAGAATATGAGATATTTGTAAAGATGTGAATATATTTTCACATTTCTGGTTCTGTGGATCTTTTTTTTTCTTTTGCTTTTTGGGTCACACCCAGCGATGCTCAGGGGTTATTCCTGGCTCTTCACTTAGGAATTACTCCTGGTGGTGCTTGGGGGACCATATGGGATGCCAGGGATCGAACCCAGGTCGGCCGCATGCAAGGCAAATGCCCTACCCACTATGCTTTTAACCACATCTGAGAGAAGAAAAACAACTGTTACATTAATTCTTGGGAACTAGAATATCTTAGAGAGTTGGGAGGGAGTCTGCCAGCTACACTGCAAAAATCATTCCCTCAGGCCTGGGGAACTGGGTTCTTAGAGTGTCTTGGAGTCTAGTGGATTGTGCTTTGTTATCATTCAAATCACATGTAAGAGTTCTCCACTCTGGTTTGAATCTGAGTCCCTCCAGCAAGGAGCATGAATCCAGAGAGTGAAAACGCTACATACTGACCACGAAGTTTCTCTCTGAGGTGTCCTGGGAGGTGCATCCTTGCTCCTCTTGCAAAACAAGATGATATATGCCAGCAGGAGTTCATCATCCACAGCAGCAGGACATGACTAGAAGATGTCCTTCAGCCCAGGACACCAGAGTTCAGAATATATTGTGCCCTGGGCTCTGACTTTTGCCCAGGCACCCATCCCAGGCAGTGTTCTCAGCACAATTATTTGTGGTTAGTCTCCTCTTGTACTTTATTTCTCCATCCATTCTCTCACAAATATGCACTAGTGCAGCTCCTGAGTAGTATTTGTGAGCCAGAAGCTCAGCTTGGTGCTGACTTGTCTAGAGAATTGAAGGGAAGATGATACAGTCCTGGTAAGATTAGATACCAGACCTACACTTTCAGTGTTTTGAATGCTGACACCTCAGTGTCTTTCCAGTCCAGTGCCATGCTTTCTGCCGGACATTTCCTTTAAGCTCTGCCCTGGAATACAGTGTCTGTTTGCTTGGATGTTTTGTATATTCTCACCCTTAACACATTCAAGGCTAACTACTGATTTCCCGATGCACCCAAACCCAGTCAGCATAATCTCCCACTGCCTTCACCATTTCGTTCAATAGCAGCTCATCCTTTTGCATACTCAGGCTCCAATCAAAACTTATTCTTCCCTTTTCTCTCTCCCATTTGATGAGCATTCTCACAGCAACTCTGGCTGGCTCTGGCTTCAATATGAACCCCAAATCCAGCCATCTCTCCCCTTCTGCCACCACCCAAGCACAGGCCAATATCTTATATTAGAAGTCTTCTCATTTCCAGCCCCCCCCCCCATTTCCCTGCTTTTACTTTTGCCCCTTACAATCTATGAGAATCCCAAGTGCCAGAGAAATTCCTTTTTAATACGTCAGATTGTGCCACTTCTCTACACAAAGGCTTCTTCTGGTCTTATCCCATGCAGGATAAAAGCTGCAGCCTTACAGTGACCTCCAAATCTCTAACAGGTGTTGTGACCCTATCTGTACTCTGACATCACCTTCTACTCAATTCCCACTCACTAGACTTCCATTCAACCAAGCCATTTGGTGTCTTATAAGTAGACCAAGCATGAGGGACAGACATAGAAAGATTGCACTCATTTGTGGAATATAAAGTAATAGAACGGAAGACTAACACCCAAGGATAGTAGAGATGAGTACCAGGAGGATTTCTACATGGCTTGGAAGCCAGCCTCACGTAAGGGGGAAAAGGGAGCTCATATAGAGAAGGGACCACCAAGTAAAGGGTGTTTGAAGGGCCCACTCGGGATGGGAGATGAGAGCTGAAAGTAGACAATAGATCGAACATGATGGCCACTCAATACCTATATTGCAAACCATAACACCCAAAAGGAGAGAGAGAGAGCAAAAGGGAATGCCCTGCCACAGAGGCGGAGTGGGGTGGGGTGGTGGAAGAGATGCTGGGATCATTGGTGGTCGCAAAAGGGCACTGGTGGAGGGATGGATACTCGATCATTGTATGATTGAGACATAAGCATGAAAGTTTATAAGTCTGTAACTGTACCTCATGGTTATTCAACTAAAAATTTAAAAATAAAAAAATAAAATAAAAATAAATAAAAAGACCAAGCATGTTCACACCTTAACATTTCAGCACTTGTTCCCTCCTCTAGAATGTTCTTCCCCTGTTTCACTTTCTTCAGGGTATTCATAGTTAGAGAGAACTTACTTAACCACTCTTAAGGAAATGACATGTCCCCAGAATTTTCTCTTCTCCACATCCTGGTCCCGTTCTCATCACTTAAACTCGTTACTAGAGAAAAATATACTAGTATGTTTCTTCTTCACTAAAATATGAGCTCCATCAGTATTGAGACTTTATGCATTTTGTTTTCTTCTTTTTCTCTAAGTCTTAGTAAAAGTGCAAGGCATACAGTAGGTGTTCAAAAATATTTATTAAATTGAAGTAGTTTATAAAGAATAGACTATATGAAAGGCTCTCATTTCAGAACCTTCAAAGAAATAATTCATCCAGAAACAACTCTATGAGGCAGAAATTACAGTGACTATTTTACAGTAAAAGAAACTAGTATTCAAATACAGGTCAAACTGACCCCATGGCATCTTTTATCTAGTACAGAATTTTGGAAAAGGCCAGGAAGTACTTCCAAGAACTTGGCATCCACCAGTAACAGTGTCCTGTGTACACATAGAACTGTCAGCACAGCTAGAAAAGAGACCACTATATCAAAGACTGCAGTCCAATCGCACTTTACTTAATCTCAAACATCACACAGTAACATAGAAAAGTATAAGTGAACCAGCATTTCACATCATTCTGCTGAGGAAGAAGTCTTTCAGATATATAATGATATTCAGAGGTCAACTAACTAGTCCTTTGTAAAGATAAGTCTTTACTGTTGGTTCTCTGGCTCCCAGTGGACTAGAGCATGACCTCATGTATGCTAATCTCTAAAGCAGACATGATAAATGCACTAGTATTACCTATTCCTGGCATGCCATTAGACCCTCACCCCCAAATCCTAGAATCCCATGCAATACAGAACTGCAACAGACACAGTCTTGAAATTCTCTTATCATTCTTCTAGCTTACACACACACACACACACACACACACACACACACACACACATCAACATCCTCTGTTTTCTATTCCTTCTAATGACCCACATTCAAAGATGGGTTTGTGGGATTTTCCATCCTCCACTCATGAGGCTCCATGGTACTATTAGGTGACAGGAACTCCAGGATGAAATATTCCTGAAGGTCTCAGTGCTAGCAATTCCTTTAGAATCCTCTGTTCTTCAAAATCAGTTCAATCCTCACTCACCCAATCCAGAGAAGTAGGACATGAGTTGCAAAAAGTTACCTCGTCCCATATGTTCTTCTAACACTGAGACCATTTATTCTTTTATGTAACTGTTAACAGGCTACTACTATATACCAGTTTCTATGCTGGTATTTAGGGCATGGATGTATGTTCAACCTGCCCTTGAGGACCTCACAATTGAGTAAGAATAAAAGTAAACAAGAAATAGAAAACACAGTCAGATACCTGATTTAGGGAGACATTATAGTGCTGACCTTCTAGAGGATTTGGTGGAGAGGGAATTGCTCTACCTACAGTGGCATTACTAACAGGGGTGACCCAGAGATAGTGGCTCTGACTAGGAATTTATCACCCCAAACTTTTTCAGGTGAGTGGGGAGAGTCCTCAGTGTCTTTGGATTTTAATGAGGAGCACTGAGCCCCCTAAAACCTGTACCTCAATTTCCCTAGATTTAAAATGAGAGAACCTTAGTACATCCCCTTCTCAAGATGCCCAGAGGAATCAAATATGTGCCACCATTGATCAAATAGTACATACTCAATAAATAATCCGTTTCTTCTTAATTACTTAATTATGCTCTTATGATGACTTTCCAAAGCTATTGTCCCTGATTTGGAGAATTATTCAGAGAAAGCAGGGATATAAAGGCTGCACAATCCCTGAAATCACCTCATCTGATCTGAGACTGATTTTCCAAACTTGTGGTATGTGTGTGTGTGTGTGTGCACACATGTGCACTGCTTGTAAACACACACACACACACACACACACACACGTGTGTTGTGCTTTCTTCTCTTGCCAACCCAGCATCATCACTGTCCAGAGTCCAAATGACAAACTAACAGTCACAGAGTTGCCTTTCTCAGAGGAAAGCCACAGGAGAGCTAGGAGTGCCCCACCCCCATGTAAGCTCTTCCCTGACCCTGTACCCACCCATCAAGACAATAGAGACAAGCATAAATTTCTCGAACCCAATGGATGGAAGGGAGGGCTTCAGCAAGTCCAATACTGTTCCCCACTGACCACCCAGCTTGGGCCCACCCAAGAAATCTACCTGATAACAGCAAAGTTGACAACATACCCGTGGAGCATTCAGGCTGCCTGGGACGCCTCCTGAGGCTCTGTGCTCAGAGAAGGATCTTATTTTTGAAGTAGCAGCTTTCTGTCGAAATTCTTCATCAGTCGCCTCGGTGGGAATTTTTCCCCCTTTCCTCTCTCTCTCCCTTTCTAACTAGTGAAACTGACAGTCTGCCTACGTTAACTGGGCATTCATTTGCATGATGAAAAGCAGATTTGTTCCAAGATGCAATGTTCTGTCTTTCCCCCCCTCTGAGCACCTCCAAGGAAAGCGAGCAAAATCCAAATTGTGCCCCTGAGCTTGGCCAGGAGTTGGCCTCTTCCGGAAGCAGGTGGAGTGCTCCCCCACCCCCAGCCCGCGGGGAGCACGGAGGGGGAGGGCAGCTTCTGAGAGACTTGGAAAGCGGCACCTGGCAGCCTGAGGCACTGGCACCAGCCCCAGTACAGGAAAAATCAAGCCTCTGGTGACAGATTAGAGCAGAGGAGCACGCCCGGAGTCCCAGGGAACTGCTCGCTTTCCTGAAAACTGGCGCTGCAAACACAGAGACTGGCAGGTGCTAAGGTCTGAACCCGAGCATGGAGTGGGGACTTGGGCTGGTGGAGGTGCTGTGGGGAACCTCGGAACCTAGATCGGAAAGGTAGGTCTCAGCTCTTGGCTTCAGCCGTGCTGTTTAGTGGAGTTATTCTCCCAGACTGAGCTGCAGATCCTGTATTCTTGGAATGAGCTTCCTGAAACCCGCCCTGCTGTCTGGCAGTTAGGCGCTGACAGCTAAGCAAAGGAGACAGCTCCCAGCACCCTGGAGTCTTGGCCACAGCCCTTGGTCACTGGAAACCTTGCGTACCAGCACCATGACCTCCTGACACCAACCCACATGGCTCTGCCTGCTTTACCCCATGACCCGTGAGGTCCAAATCACAGATGGTGACTGTGGTCACAGAGGTCTTCCCAAGTTATAAACATTACATTTTATGATTTCTGAGCTATAGCCCGCCAAACTACCAAGAGAATCTCACCCGCACGGCAATGCCTGGCAAGTTACCCGTGGCGTGTTTGATATGCCAAAACCATTAACAAATCTCACAATGTGTTGTGAGACGTTACTGGTGTCTGCTCAAGGGAATTGATGAACAATGGGAGGACAGTTCTACAGTGCTATATCATGTTCAATTTGGGGTGGGGGTAGGTGGTGAGCATCTCTCACGAGGTGCTCAGGAGGTCTGCAGGCTCCCCTTGGCTGTTCCCAGCCAAGAGGGTCAGCAGTTTCATGTTCCTTAAGGATGCGATAGAACTCTGCCCTGCGGTGCCAGAGGTTATATGGACCACCCCCACAGTGCTGGGGGGACCTCCAACACCTCACCTGGCAGTGCTTGGAGGATCACATGAAGGTTGAGTGCATGAGACTTGCATCTGAATCCCTGTGCTATTTCTCACTCAGGCATCTATGTCATTGTTTTGGCAGTTTTCTTTCTGGTAGTAAAAGAAACTGAAAGGAAAGTATTTTCAGCCTCCAGCTCCCCAACCCCAATCATGACAGGTCTTAGTTTCTATCAACACCAGAACTGGTGAGGCAGAGGTGGTGCTGCACCCTCTCCTGATCTAGACTGTACTCCACATTGTGCACCTGAGGGGACTCTCCTTTAAGTTTGGACGGGACGTTGTCACCAAAAAAAAAAAAAAAAGAACACTGCTGACATGTAGAGTGAATGGTGTAGTGAGGGGGCAGACTGAAGCGTGTAAGCAGATGTATGAAGAATTTTAGGACATGACAGTGGGGAACAGGATATGGTGATGGAGCAATGCTAAGTGAAAGATGCTAGGAGGCTATGTGTGCGCTGAGCCCACACAGGAGAGGGGCCCTCTGTGGAGAGCTCTAGGGGTGCAAAGACCCCGAGAAAGGGCTAGTTTGGGAGGCATAGACCAACCTACTTGGAAGCCCAGTGGTTAAAGATAAGTGAGAGGGACACAGTGGAGCCCTTCCCATGAGCTCACCAGAAATGAAAATGTGGCTATATTCTAAGCTGCAGCTGGGCAGTTTTTGAATTATATTGGGGGCCATAGAAGCCTACCAAAGAGTGGAGCCAGGAGTCATTCTCAGTGATAAACCACCAACCAAATCAGGAGAAGCAGCACTACAAAGCTCACACCTGATAATGCCTAGGGCCCTCCAGGGATCAACCTGGTATTTCTGGGAAGCATGCAGACTCTGGGAAGCAAGAAAACACCTTGAGGTTGAGCATTCAAGGCTTGTGTCCTTGACCATTGAACTATATCCATATCCAGCTCCTGTTAGGGAGGAATTTCATGGATTTATCTTTTGTAAAAATAATATTCTGACAGTGATATAAAAATGGCCAATGGAGAGGTAACAAAGCAAATCGAGGCCAGATTGACCTCTAGTGCGGGGCACAGGGAAAAAGCTAGTTAAATAGGGGTTGTAAGTGTGGAAGGTGGGAAATGCTCAGGTGATCTCGCTCACATTGGCAATCTAGAGTTCAGGAAAGAGAAGTCTGAGCTGTAGATATGAATTGGGGGATGGGGTGAAAGATGGGGAAAAATGAGGTTCCACAAAACCAATAGCAGGAAGTGTCTCTGAAAGGAAGCAGAGGAGAGAGGGGTGGCTGACCCGACAGGATGTGGGTCCTGTTGGCCTGTGAGGTGCTCTCGCAGGAGAATGAGGGTAAGAGAAGGGTGGGACAGACTGTCCCTGTGCTCTTGAAACTTACCCACTTTCCACTGCTATTCTTTTCTTTACATGTACGTACACACACATACAGAGAGAGAAAAAGAGAGAGACAGACAGAGAGACAGAGAGAGATAGAGAGAGAGACAGAGCGAGATAGTTCTCATGATTTGTCCTCTGCACAGCTCCCACTTCACCAATTCTGTTCCATGGAAAGAACTTGATCATGCCCATTGTGAATATTCAGCTGCTAAACAACTGCAAGATGTTAACTTAAGGCTGTTTATATGAATGCACGAGTCTTTGTCTTGACATAAACACTCTAGATCATTCTGGGGCACTCGTTTAATTGTACCATCCATATAAGCTTGTAAGAACCAGCTGAGCCCTGAGAGACTGACAGTCTTTCCTATGGGAATTCTGCCCTGGCTGTCTATCTTCTCAAGTCTCAGTTTTTATAACATTCTGGTAAATTTTAGAGTAACCAGTGCACAAAAAATAAGGACAATTTAAATTTATTGAGGTTTTGTTATTTACAATATTGTTAATGATAGTTTTGTTAATAATGGTTTTTTGTTAATGACGATTTACAACATTGTTAATGTTAGCTTTTTGTGCCCATAATTTAATCACCAATATACCCACCTCCCTCCTCCAAGATCCCCAGGGCCCCTCCCTTTCACTCTCTGATGTGCCTCAGATGCCCAGTGCTGCTCCCACACCCACAGATGCTCTCTGGAAATGTGTTGCAACAATAACAAGTGGAAGATGGAGACTCTGGAGAGAACTCTTCACCCTGTCTCTCAACCTGAGAATGAACATGGCCTCTATTTCTCATAGTTTACAAGCTAAAATGGGGAGAGAGGCAATATTCATTGGGCCCATGTGTCTGTAAGTCTCTTGCTAATCATTCATTTGTTTGATTCTACCCCGGGCTCAGGGAGGAACCATCACTAAACAAATCTGAGACTGCTCTGTGATGGGTCTCCAAGGTTGGACACCAGATAGGAGTCCAACCGAGTCCCCAAAGTGCTAGATTCAGGTCTCAGTCCCTGAAGTCATGTGGTACTCCACAAGAGGACCATAATAATCTGCCCTCCCACCCTGGACACACACACAAACACACACACACGCACACACACACACATGGCCAGAGAAATAGTACAGCAGGTACGACTCTAGCCTTGCATGCAGCTGACCCCACTTTGATCCACAGTGACGCAAGTTCTCTTGAGCACCACCAGGAGTATTCCCTGACCACAGATAGAGGAGTAAGGCCCTGAAAGCCATTGGGTGTGGTCCAAAGCAACCATTCCCCCCACCCCAACTCCAAGAAAAAAGATAAAAAGGCAGTCAGTTCTTCCACAGGGTTCTAGCTTTTCTGGAGTATGTATTGGTGGCAGGCCTTTAGACACACAATGGCAGCTCTCGCCTCCCCAAGGAAGTACAGCCCTGTCTGCAACAGCCCTACTTCTGGGCAGAAGCCTGCCTATAATTACAGCTTGTAGAGTTTATGCTTTGCAGTCACGTGGGGGATGTTCCCCACTGCTTCTCTAATTAAACCTGCAGCAGCATCTGTGCCTTGATTCTCGCCAAGAGCAAAGAGCAGTGGGTCTTGCTAAACACAGGACCCTGCAAGTTCCCACATGGACCAAGGCTTGAGTGCCCACTCTGACAGGTTCCAGAATAGTGACTGTCAACCAGGTAGGTTTCCCCTGGGGACCTCAGAACATTGTAATCATTCAGTGTGAAACTCATCACAAGTTTGTGGAATTACAAAAGCCGCCCACCTGCCAGCATTCTGGCCATGGAGCTTTCTAAACACTTGGGCCTTCGAGGACTTCCATGAGCAGTGCCCAGCCTCAGTGTCCCTCCCTCCACCACTTGCTTCAAAGCTGCCTCAACTATTGCTGCAGAACCCATGAAAGTGCCTCTTTCTTTAGGTGCAGTTTTCAGCAGATTCAGAAAAAGAATTCAGAAGCATTCGGAGAAGTATAGCCAAAGCCTTGCTCTTATGGGCTGCCAACCTGCAGAGTGGGGTGAGGGGGTGCATGAATCTGTTCCTTTACTGTAAAGTACATGTGCACAAAAAATATAATAAGCATCTTCATCTTTTCCCTCTGTCTTTACTGCTTGCCCAATTTCCTTGGCCACGGTGTGCAGCCAATCACACAGAGACCAGGCAAATATCCACATCATGGTATTTATCTGCACTTTCGAGAATCTTCTTTTAAATAAATAAGGGTGGCTACCAAAGCAAGAGGGAGCTTTAAAAAATAGATATTATATTTTATACTTTCTTCATTGTAATGAAGTGATTCAGGGTCTGTGTTCATACTGTCGATTTCTAATTAAACTCAGTGAAACTCAAATTTAATACAAATAGGTCTCCCATCTAAGTCCTGTGCTAGAACCTTCAAGAGCTAGTTGTAGTTCTGAAGCTGGCTTGGTAACTAATGCCGTTATCTCCAGTTTGTTTGTGAGAAATCAGAGGAGCAGAACCCCAGAAGGCAAAACAAATTTGGATGTGCTGACTCCATTGCCTCTTACAGTGAGGTGTTCTGGTCCCGCGGTGCCCATCCACTTGCTTCCCTGCATGTCCTCCCACCCTGAACAATAACAAACTCAGTTTGGAGTAGAATGCCTTAAAGGTGACATAGTGATTTCACACTACTTTGCTCACTCAATTCTCATGAAATCT